TAATAATAACAATAATAATTATACTCTCATTAAATTACACTGAGCTCAGAGGTTGGCACCATATATCAAGTGGTTTTATGCTTCTTATATTCTTTTTCTCCCACAAAGGGGTAAGATTTGATGATCTCAAAGGATACCCAGATCATGTAAGTCTAATTCATCTGTGTATTTGTGTATAAGTCTGACTTTAAGATTGTTAAAACACTAGATAGAACTCTGTCACTAACACCCCTCTAAGCTGGATTTCTCCCATTGGCCTCAGGCCTTTCCAGTAGTGACTGCCCATTTTAAGAGGCAAGAAGCAGACATTTTTATCAGTCAGTCCCTGGTCAAGGGAAGACACTACAGACCTGTAAGAACTTCATCACAGAATCTTTATGCAGCTTGGCTGGGTGGTCAGACATCTATTCTGCAGTAAGTATGTAGCCCATGGCATCTGGTAATATGCTATTGTGATGGCCTGCCCTACCCAACAATCCAGCTAAGACACCTCTCAGATCTTCTCAGCTGGTGTTAAAGGTGGAATACCAGTGGTCCCTCCTGGGAGGATGGGAGAGTCAGGGCTTGGGGAAGGGGTGCCTTACTTACCACCCATGGTTTGTCACAGAAGTTGTAAATGGATTCCAGAGAGTTGATGCTGGGGAGGCCTGCATACTGCATGCCAATGATCAGGTGGCGGAAGTCTTCGTTCTCTGCCATTCCAAATGCATGCTGTCGGATGAGCACGAAGTCTGGTCTGAAGGACCTGGTAAGAATCAGAGGCACATTTCCATTAACCAGCACCTCAGGTGACACACCACCTTGTCTCACATTTCCAAAGCCCAAGATAGAGAAGGGATGTGAAGGCCTGCCTAGTCCACAACCTTCATTTCATTATTACTCCTTTCTGGACAGGGCAATGGACTATTATGGTACTTTCAAAAGAATATCTAAGGAATATATTTCTGAATTCGCTCATTCTTTCAGGCTAAACATTGTCTTTTTCTAGCATACAAATAACCTAAGGAGGGAAGAAACATTTTTAGATGCCCTCACCTTAAGTGAAAGAGATTTTCCTCTGTTCTCATAGGACAGTATGAAAGCCTGAAGCATCTTGTGGTTCTAGAGTTGGTGCTCAAATTGGGTCCTGGAAGATCACACTACTACCAGATCTCTGATCTTAGTGTACTGTTCAAATCCTAAAAGCTGTTCCTTAAAATAGGCAATGCCCTCAGCAGGCCCCCATGAGAGCAAGGGGCTAGGTTAGCTGAGAACAGATGCCAAACTTCCCAATATTATTCTTCCAAAGTGGACACAAGGGAGGGGTGTAAATATTTTTTGCAGAATTGAGGTTGAGAAATGGCTGCAGGAAGCACTGACAACAAAATGTTCCTATGCATGGGAAAGCTCCCCTAGTTTCACCTTTAGCCAGCAAAGCTCCTCACCATCGCTACCTTTACAGGACCAGGACTCCTAGCTTCAGAGACCTTCCCAGAGAGGCAGTTTGTGGCAGCATCTGCCTCCAAGGCTCTATGGCTCAGCATCTGACACCATGTGCAATGGATGGCCTACCTGGTTCTCTGCCCAGGCACCCATCCAACCTCCACCTACAGATCCAGCCCAACCTGGGCTCAGAGATCAGCTCTGGCAGTGAGGGTTAAAGGAACTCTCCTCAATTGTTCAGGAATTTATTATAAATCAGTCTGCTTAGGATGCTCTGACCTCCTTGTTCCCAGTTCTGGAACCTGTTGTTAGGTCCCAGATACCTCAATCAAGCCATTCTTGTCACTAACCCAGGTCCTGTTGTACCCCTGAGATCAAACCCCAATCTTACATGCCAGTCAGTTAAGGACTAGAACTCTAAACGTGTGGTCAGCCCAAGTTCCTCCACTGGCACCTGGAAGGGCCTGCCTCATTTCTGTCAGAAGCTTCCTAGAGCCCTGCCACTGGACCTTTCTGTCAACTACCTACCTGTGTGTGTTTCTCTACCTTACATTCTAGTTACAAAAAAAGAATCCTGTCTATCCTGTTGCAGGATCTACCTAAGCTCACTTCCCACCTGGATAGACATCTATTTTTTCTACTATATTTTTCTTGAGACTCCAAAAGAGGCAATCCCATATTTCCTATTATTGGGTCTTAGATACCCCCCAGTCTGGCCTTTCCTGTCACTGACCCAGATCCTGTTGGATACTAGATGCCTGGGAACTGGCCTACTGTGATGAAGGTGAGGAAGAGAGTGAGGTTAGGGACCCCTCATGGAGCAAGACTGATTTCTGAAAATCTAAAGCAACATTAAGCTCCTGGGAAAAATGAAAACCATTTCCTGCCATCTGGGATTCTTGTTAGCTCCCTGAAGGAACCATTGTGCATACATCAATGTTCCATCCATAAGGCACCCAGAACACCATGTGACATGGAAGTCCTCAGTGACCACTCATCTTCTTCCGTCTACAATGCCTATTCCAATACTAGGTTTTCCTTTCAGACATACAAGTTGGCAATGAAGGATAAAAAAGAATACAGGGGTGAGACTCAAAAGAACACACATCTAGCGCAGAGCTTTGCCATCAACTCAGTGAGTGGCTCTACGCAAATGAGCATAAAATGGAAGGTCAAACTAGATCAGACATTTTAAAATGTTTTAAAAAGCAATACAACCAGTTTTCTAGGGGAACAGTAGAGAGATAAAAGCACAAACCCAGGCTGACTCAAAGGTGGGCAGAAGTGCTAACAGGAATCCAGTCACCTCTAACTATGCTCTGAGTCCATGGAGCCTAAGGTTACTTTCTCTGCTGTTGGACTAAGCTGCCTTCTCTACCATTTCCAGGTAACACATACCATTGGTTCTACATACCACACCAGCACGGCTATCTCACTCCAACACTTGACTTAAAACCATCTCTTCAAGTCTGAAGTAGAGACAGTGACAGTGACCCCGAGAACAGAAAGACCCTTACCGGACAACCTTTGTGCCATTCCGGAGCACCTGCATGTCCACAGCATAGGTTCCATCTGCATGGGCCACCAGGTTAAGCTCTGAAAATTCCGCCTGGAGAATAACAGTATGACAGTAGTGAGTCTAAGTCCTGACTTTTCCAAGCCCTCCATATAGGAGCAGCCCCACCACCAAACATTCATTTCATTTTCTAAATATTTTTACATATATTAGATTTCCTCTAATATTCAAAGAAATCCTTTGAGTAAGGTGAGATGGAGATAATTTTCCCCATTTACCAAAAGAGAAAACTGCCTAAGAGAACTTGCATGATTTTTCTGGACAAACAGAATCTATCACTGACAGAACCAGGAACCACACTTGGGTCTTCTGACTTCCAGCTTAGCATCTTTCATGTTGCCTTTCTAGACAGTGAGAAGGTAAACTGGGATAGGCAACTCCTTTCTTAGTTAGGTTTTTAGACAACTGAGCTTCAATTTTTCTCTGCCCCTGACCAGCTGCAGAACATGTCAAGTGAGTTACTTGTCCTTCCTGGTTTTCAGTTTCCCCAGTCTATAATATGAGAATAGTTTTTAATCAACTCTGCATATTTAACAAGTTGTTTTAAGAATGGAATGTAATAATGGGTAGAAAAGAACCCTGTAAATTATAACATACTCTATAATGAATAAGGAGTAACTTCTATTATTATATAGAAAATACATATATTGTTTAAACAGGACATCTCTTTCCCAAATGGGCATAATTCTCTATTTACGAGGACAGAGGACAGTAACAAAAGAACCTTTTGAACTTCTCTATATTAAAACAGGGAGGATATTCTTTTCTAAACTCACTCTGAAGTAAACCTCAGGGTCAGAGAAAGTATTGTAAGATGCAGCACACTGAACAGAAGACAAGTGCCCACCTAGAAATATATTAGCACCAAGAGCATGGGGGTATGGCCAGAGTTCTAGAAAACACTCCTCTCAGGCTTCCTCAGCTTGGGTACCCTGCACTACACTATTTGCCTCTGAACCATAACTGTTAAGAGTCAAGGAAATTAAAAGCCCTGGAGAAATGGTGAGAGAAAGGAGATGCAGAGTCTAAAACCCAGAGAGGGATACTCCACTCCACTGAACAGGGCTAAGTGGTTTTGTCAGGGATGCCAGAGGGAATCTGTGATGATACAGATACAATGTGAGACTTCAGACTGATTACCTGCTCCACCTTGATATCATAATCTCCAAGGATTTTTTTGCCCCGAAAGCACTTGGCCCTGGAGAAAGGAAAACAAACAAACAAATAAACAAACAAAAAACAAACACACACACACACACACACACACACACACACACACACACACATACATTAGTTTTGTATGTTTGAACTCAGGCATTTACTTTCCCAAAGAAAACTACATCAAGCTGGGCAGGGTGGTGCACACCTTTAGTCCCAGCACTCAGAAGGCAGAGGCAGGCAGATCTCTGCGAGATGAAGGCCAGCCTGGTCTCCATATCGAGTGCCGGTCCAGCTGGGGCTACAGGGAAGCCCTGTCACAAAAGATTTAAAAAAAACAAAACAAACAAACAAAAAAAAAAACAAAGCCCACCAATGACAACAGATGGAACCCAGAACAAGAGTCAAGAGAGTTAGGCTTGGACACTCAGGTTGCTACTGGATTGCCATAAAATCTCAAGCAAACCACTTCTTCTCTTTTGGCCTCAATTTACCCATCTGCAAAATAATCCAAAGTACCCTTTCACTTTCAGGTTTTTGTGTGATTTTATGATCTCATCTCTGGTATTTGGCATAATAAAGGAAGTAGGAATGTTCTCAGTAGTGTTCCTGGTAAAGACTAGGCCAATCTCATGCATCACTAGAGTTTCCTTATCTTCTGTGTTTCACCTTGTTTATAACTGTTTTCCACCTGTGAACTTTCAGGTTTTGAAGAAATTGCCATTAATACTCCTTCATACACATACCAGGAGAAAAGACAACTAATGAAAGCTACTACAATTGAGCATAAAGCTAAATCCTGTTTTACTGAGCACTCAAGAAAATGAGTCAAGGGGGTGGAGAGATGGCTCAGCATAGTTAAGAGCATAGGCTGCTCTTCCAGAGGACTCAGAATCAATTCCCAGCACCCACATGGTAGCTGATAACCGTCTATAAATCTGCTTCCAGGGAATCCAATGCCCTCTTCTGATCCAATGCATTGCACAACATGGGTACACTTATATACACGCAGGCAAAACATTCCTACACATAAAAATACAAATAATAAATGAAATATTTTTAAAAAAGAAAATGAGTCAAGCTAGGTACACAATACAGAGCACCTTCCCAGCTTGTCAGAGACTTAGAGGAAGTTCACATTAATGCATTAGCAGTATCACAGCCCCTTGTGTAAGCAGATTGTTCTCATTCTATGTTTACATTCATTTTTTACCTTGTCTCTGATCTACCTTCCCTCCGTAAGATTTTCTTCTCTGTTCACTTAGGCTGTGTCCTAAGTGGCCTACTGTACCTACTGGCTAAAGTAGGCTTGCTTTTTCAGCACCTGAAATTTCCAACCAACATATTTAATTGGAGGTTTTCTAAGAGTCTCTCTCCAAAATAAAGGCATATATTATATCTGCATTGTGCTCTAGGAGTTACTTGTGAGCTGTTTTCAAGAATATTTCAATTAATCCTCATAATGACTGATGAGACAGACAGCTCTTTGAAACAAGGAATTCAAGATTCATAGGAAGAAATGGCATTGTGAAGGGCACTTGGCAAGTTAGTACCAGTCACTGTCTCAACCAGACCTATAGGACCCTGAGTGCAATGCCCTCCACACCACATGGTACCGTCCCCTCTGCTGATTTAATCTTTCCATCTCCCACACTGTGAAAATTGACTTTCCACATTTGCTACACTGATTTCCCCCCCCCCCACACACACACATTTTTCTTCTTCTACTCAGAAGAGACTTGATGTTATGAGCACTAGTCCTGTTACAAATACTTCCTATCCTGGTTCCTGTCAACTTACTCAGGACGAGGCCAGGCTATTTCCTTTTCTCTATGGATCCTGGAACAGCCCGTTCTAGGAAGTTGTCATTTGTCCTATCCAAGTCCCTGGCCACCCTGAAATTGCTCCTCTGAGGCACTGGGCCATCCTGGAGCTGGATCACTGAAGTCCATCCTCCCCCACCTCTGCCCTAATTCCTTACTAAGTTTCACACCAGCTTGCTTCCAGGACCCTGATCAACATTCAGGGCTTAGCAAGCCCCTCGGGCAGGGGGCCTGTAGCATATGCTATTCTTTTGATTACTTTTCTGTCACTGTTCTACAGATATTAGACTCTGTAGGTCTTTGTTCATGAATACAAAAAGGATGAGCTGGAACAAATAACTCACAAAATGGCTTCTTTGGTTGGGTGTGCGTGTATGCTGCTATCAAAAATGCTTTCTTGATGCTGTCTCCTATCTTCCTGTCTCAAAATACCTTTTCGGTAAGATTAGCCTCAGAGACATTAACAAATAACCTTTCATTCTATATGAAGACTGACATTGTCAAAGTACATTCTTTATACTTGTTTCTCACATCTCTGTGAAGGAACCAGAAGGACAGTTCTTGCTGCACACTGGATTGCTGGGGAAACTGAAACCCGGAATAGTTAAATAATATGCTTGGATCACAGAAAACATCATAAGTTAAATCTAGAACTAAGCATTTACATCTAGATGCTCACATGATGCCAAGTTTTCTAACTTGCTCATTTATTTTGTGGGTTTTGAACACTGATACTGAAGTATATTTATAGATCTTGGCTGGGTTTATCTGCCATTTCCTGCACCTGCCCATTGACCAAACTGGCTAATGGGACTGTTTTCATGCCTCCCCTGAACCCCCATCTTTTAGGCTATCCTAATGGCTTTTCCGTAAGGTAATTTGTCCTGTTAGAAATCTCAGTTTGTTTCCTGGCCCAGGGTCACTGACCTCTCTAGCTGAGCCATAATGTTACAGTAAGAGCCAAGATGGCAGCAGATGGGACACAGAGCCCTCTTCTGGAGAAAGAACACATTCTTGTAGCAACTGCCCTTGGACATTCTGCTTCATTTTCTTGAAAATTTTTCATGAGAATTCTATAACTTGTTAGTAAATGAGAGAAACCCTCCCTGAGACCAAGAGCACCAGCAGGAAGCAGTGTGCTAGGATCCAGAGGATGGGCTCTGCAGTCTCAGTCTGCAGTGTGAGTTCTAGCAGCATCCTTTCTTGTGTGATCTTTGGGGGGAAAGCCTACATCTAAAACAGTAATAGTAAATCTGATTATGTGGTTAAAGCATTTAATCAATCTATATTTAAAACTACATAAAAGCACATACATTCAGTTCCTGTACTTGGGGAGGCAGAGGCAGGCAGATCTCTGTGAGGTCAAGGCCAGTCTGGTCTACATAGTGAATTCCAGACTTTAAACATACACATATGGCATCATGCTACAGAAACTTCTTTTGGAGCCTTTTTTTCCCCCACTCAAGAATATAGCCCAGTGATAAGCTTTTAAAAAAATTTTATTTTAGCACATACTAGTGGGATCTCATTAACAGCTAAATGAAATGCTCTATGGTAATTTAGCTAATATTTACTGGTTAGTAGATTTCCATATTCCTTCCTTTGCTAGTGCTACAATGGCTTGCACTAATATATATATATTAGATAAACAATTTATTGTAGACTTCCTGGTATAAGGAATAGGCACAGTTGCAGTTTTTACAGAATTATTAAACTGCTTCCCACCCAAGGAAAAGATTATATTACTTTCATTAGTATTTGAAAGTTTGGGGAATGTATTTCACCTGCCGTAGGTTTCCCATACCGACCCTCACACAAGATGGGGACAGAGTAGATATTCAGCATGGACTTCCTGATAGGCAGTTTTATACAATAAACCCAGATTCATCCCCTTGTGCTCAGTCCTAAACAGATCCCACAACGTACATCCTTGCAGCATAGACTAAAAATATCTGTGATGCCTGTGTTGTCAATTTCCCCCTATTGTAGCATTTTCTTAACAAGCCTAGCAGCTGAGGATCCATGTGAGTTTAATGGTTTGCAGCTTCCTTAATAGACCGGGTAATGAACCCTCTCCCCTTATTGCCAAAATGAGTAGAGGCACCCAGATATAATTCTTGATATCCAAGGAGGAGGTATTCTACCAGCAGTGCATGCTGGTAGTCTCAACTACTCTGGAGGCTGAGGTGAGGGGGCTGTCTTGAGCACACGAGTTTGAGGCTAGCTTGGGCAACACATTAAGACCTTATGCCAACACAAAACAAAATAAACAAAACGAAATGGGGGAGGAATTAATGATAATTTTAATAATAGAGGGGAAGACTTGCTATGAATTAAAACAATATTCTAAATATTTTATGTATTTTACTACATTTAATAATATCTGACCTGCAGGTGCTATGAAGGGAATAATGGGTGCAGGAGCAGGACAAGAGAAGGTAACACATGTGAATATGATCAGAACACATTAAATATTATATACATATATGAAAGCTTCATAATAAACCCATTGTTATATATAATTAAATATGCTGATAAAAATAAATTTTAAAAGGAGAGTGAAATTAGGTACCACTGACGTATTTTGGGGGGCTGGAGAGATGGCTCAGCAGTTAAGAACACTGGTTGTTCTTGCAGAAGACCCAGATTCAAATCCCAGTACCCACATGGCAACTAACAACTGTCTGTAAGTCCAGTCCCAGGGGATCCAACAGCCTCTTCTGACCTCTGTGGGCATTGTACAACATGGGTGCACTTACCTATATGCACTTATATACATGTAGGCAAAACACTCATACACATCAGATCAAAATAAAGTTAAAAAAATCAAAATCTTTAGTAAATTTGTGCACTTAGCAGATTCACAATCAGGATCTGCTTACTAGATGGAGATGTTAGGCATGATGGCTTAGGCAGGGCCAAATATGGAAAAACTAGAAGAGGCCATTGTCAGGGCTGAGTGGACTGAATCTGTTCCTGCAGGCCTGGCCTTGTCCCTCCTTGCATATGTCATCCCCACAGTGTCTGGTTCTTCTGTCCATATTCTTCCCTACAAGAAAACATGCTTTCAAACTCTACCTGCAGTGGCACCTCAGGACCTGGAAACAGCTTGATGCAATCCTCTCTAGATGACTGAAATTTACATAAAGATCACACTGCAAGCTGAGGATGGCTGCGCTAATGGTGTGTTTGCAGGCTCCAGAAGGCATACAGAAGA